TGGTGGCTGTGGGAAAGTGGATATGTGTAAGGTTATGACTGGGAGTGGGAGTGTGTGTGGGGGCTGTGGGAGGCTGTGGGTGTGTTTGGGGGGTATGGTGGGGGCCCCCACTTTAGCAGGAAGGCAGGGAAGGTGGAAACAGCCATGGGGTTGCCTGCAAAAAGCTCTGACAGGCAGAGGCATCTTGTGTCTAGTGGACCCCCTAGCTCAGGGTTGGGGGCAGGTCAGTTTTGGGTGGGGGGGTGGATTACTCAGCTGGAGCCTCACCTCCTGAAGGGACACACTGGCTTCCAGAGGGGCAGCCCAGGGTCAGGGCTTACAGAGGGTTGCCGTGGGCTGGATGGAATTGCCTCGAGGGCCAGATGCGGCCCATGGGCTGCATTTTGCCCATCCCTGGCCCAGGATTTGGGAGGCCTTGATTCTAGGCCAGCAGTTCTCAACCAGGGGCCCGTGACCAGGTTTCAGTGGGGTTGCAGATCTGGTGTGATCATGATCTCTGAGGTCAGCTGGGGCAGATAAGCCCAGGCTCAGCCTGCCACTGCTGCTGCCACCAGGTTCACAGAAAAATATGGATTTTCTCCTTTAAAGGAGAAAACCCAGAAAACCATGGATTTCCCCTTTCAGGCTGGCAGTGTTCCATACATATCTAAGATACCTTCTCTGCAGTTGTACAGGACAAAGAAACGTAGGTCTTAAAGAAGTTAATATGTCATGCAGTAATGGACAGTACAGCATGATTTAAAAAACAAATCAAAGAAGACAGTCAGGTTTGCAAACTAAAACAGATCTTTTTTAAAACAGATCATAGCTCCATTTCAAAAATGTGTCAGATGTAATATATCCAGTATTTTGCATAGCTATCCTGTATGGTCTATTCTGATTCTGATTTTTTTGATGGAAACCTCTTCTCTGTACTCTGTATCAATGGGCATATCACTGGTGCTCAAAAATTTAGTATCTCATAACTTCCCATTAATAAAATGGTGAAGCTATTTTTCATAGGGTTAATTTTAGACCATGTTTAATATAAGAATTTGAAACTTACTTTTGTCTTCAAATGTTAATATTGGTCATCTCCTAGGAGCAACCCAATATAGTTAAGCTCATTAAGAAAGTACCATCAGTATTGTACAGAAGAAAGACAGTAACAGCACACCAACTGAATGCTTATCCCTTCTTACCTGTACAATACAGTTGTGGAGTAAATTATTCCACAATTCATTGATCTAGTGCAGTGTAGGTCTCTAACCTTTACTTTTTTCACATGCTGAGACAAGAACTGTGGTCACTCATCCAGAAGGGGTACGAAAAGTCAAGGCAATGTAAAAAGTATTAATAGAAAATGTCTTTCAGAATACCAAATCACAAAAATATATATGTTCACATGGTTAGAAACATGCCTGTGTGGCAATTATGCAAAGAAATACATTTAGCAACTGCAGTCTTGCAGTAAGAGCAGCACACAAAGGATAAAATTGAAAGTCTTCTGGATAATACAAGCCTTCAAATACTTACCACTTATTCTACATTTAACAATAAACAGAAAGACAAGGCATTTCTACCATAGATATAATTGGTTTAAGCATTTTTAAAAGCATGGTAAGCATCTGCATTACAATATCCTTACATATTACCTATACATTGAAAGCAGGCAAAAAAATAATTTAGAATCAGTGTTAGAGTACTTGAGACTTCAGTGTAGAATGAACACTTACATTCAACAATGTAGCTGTATATGCATAGTTATCTACAATACAACAGATTTATTCATTTAATTTTAGTTATTTTATAGTTACTCTGAAGAATGAGCCAGCACTTTTTCTAGGTGTAAATTTGTGAAGTACAACTAGCTTCAGGGGAGTTTTGCTAATTTACATCTTTTAGATGGATCTAGCTTTAAGTTAAAATCTAAAAACCTGTTTCCATTTCAGGCCTCCCAGACGCACAGTAATGAGACTGCACATTTACCAGAAAGGCATAGTTCTCAACTTGCCTCTTCATTAACTGTGGGCACATCTACGTGTGAAATTAAGGTGGAGCAATAAGCTCAGTGTACAGCTGAGTCAACTGCTCCCGAGTGCAGTGTTTATACATACGCCCAGGACCATAGCACTTTGAGCTGGGGCAGAGCAGCCCTGGACTGGCAGGGAGTACTTGGGGTCTGCCCCAGGTTCCAGGTGGTGGTGCTGAGCAGTGGAGAAGTTGGTTGGGCAACGAGGGTGCTAGTGTGAGGCTAGGTGGCAGGCATTCCCTGCATTTTAGCATCTTTGTTCCCCAGCCAGCCCCTATCACCATCTACATGTGCATTGCAGTGTACTTAATGACTCCGCCATTAGACAGTACTGTCCCTAACAGTACCATCTTACGGTGGAGTTAATTAATTTACTGCTCCTTAATACCAGCACATGTGTAGATGGTGACATTTACTGCAGGGCTAATTAGTCTACTCCACAGTAAAGCGCGTGTATAGATACACCCAGTGTGTACATGATCTACTTCGTCAGAAACAATGTTTTTTCAGAATTTGAAAGAATTTTTTTTCCCCTAAGAAAATGACTGAGGCCAGGAACGTTTGAGTGCAGCAGTGAAGTAGTCAATTGCTGTCTGGTGAGAATGGCAACTTAAACCAAAGCAAAGTCATGGGCAGTCCTACTAGAAATCCCATTCACTGAATTTACATTGGTAACTTAAAATAAATTTAATTGGTAGGAAAGAAAGACTAGATTATTGGTGTTGCATGTGTTATATGTTCCTAGACATCACAGACATGCATACAATTCTTTCAGTTGTCTATAACAACTTTCAAAAAAAGGTAAATATTAAGTTGTTGAATGTTGGATAGTGGTAGGAAAGTCATCACCAGAAGTAACATCTATCTGCTGTGAAAGAAAAACATGAGGTGGCAGATGATTCTGAGTTTGGCTGGAAGGCTATACGGTAGTTCTGCAGTTCTTTAACTCTGGTGTATGTACCCACCAGTGGGTTAGACTAGTAATTCTCAAGTAGTCTGTGGAAAAACTGGACGTCATTATGCATAAGCTTTCTTCAATTCCAGGTGCTAAACTTCATTGTAAGGTAGCTAAAATATATTCAGTTCATTCTGTGCAAGTAATTATAGTAGTGGCCACTGGGCCATTCAAGGATAGTAGGCATTTCATGTGATGAGTTGTCATTTTATCTCAGAATAGGGGGCTACACATATTTTGGTTTAATATTACATAAGTTTTGCAAAAAAGTCAGTCCTACTCTTGGGTCTTGAATCCTATTGTTTCTACAAAAAGACTGCCAGGTGTTTATTGGGACAACAGTCTATTGGCTCAGCACTGACTCAGAGTAGGGAGAGAGAAAAGATCATCTGAAATATTTTTTAAAAAAAAATTGTTTTAATCAAAGGTTTATCTACTTCCATAGGCATCTTGTTTTATTCTCCTACTATTCCTATGGTTTGGAAGATTTTCCTGAGATTTAATCTACAGTTAAAATCTGCTTTTAAGTGCATCTAGTTACTGTGTCCATAGTATTTGTGCAACTAACCGATCAGAGGGTGTAATATGAACTTGCACACAACATTTAGTATTTTCATATTTGGTACTCATGTGATGAAAGTAAAATGTCTTATCTCACATACCAGTTATTACTTATAGCTAGTATTTCACAACATGAAATAACATGGCTATCCCAAGATAATTTCAGATCCTAGATATACTGTGTGGCTTAAAAACAGAAGGCCAAGTATTTTTTCTTAGTCAAAACTACGGTATTGTTCCAGTCTTCAAGTGTATTATTAAAAAACTTATGTGCCATCCAAAATAATACATCTACAATCTCTCATTTATATATACACAATAAATGCTGCACACAGAAAAATGTTATAAAACAATTTTGTTACAGTAAGGGTCAAGGAGAAATCAGGTATGGTAAGCATATACATGATCTTTGAGCACAGACTTAACAGTGAGCTTTGTCTTTAATCTTTTGCCACATCTTATCAGTGTAATGCCCAGCTTTTTCCCCCCCATAATGATGAATTTGTTTCTATACATTTTGCCAATCAGTTTTTTCAAGGACAATACTGTACAGATATCTAAGTGTTAAGTCCCTTTCTATTGTTTTTTATCATTAAAAATTGTGTGTGGGGGGTATGTAATGCACATTCTTGACTCTCACAATTATATGCTGTAAGTAAGGAACCAGGCAAGGTCATCCATATTACCCAGATGTTTAATAAACTTATTATAATCAGAGTAAATAAATTGGAGGGATCAAAACACCAGTGAAGTCACATACAAAACACCAGTATAGTCCCATGTTACACACAAAAAGTCCATAAGAAAGGGAGCACAAGAAACTATCCAGAAACAGGGGTGGCATCAATCTCTTTAGAAAATATAGGGGGATAGTTAGGGATAGCTATGTTATGATTAAAATAATTGGTTGTAGCTTAATCTTACCTGCTAGCTGTTTTTACTGAGCTGTTCTTCTTGTGTCCTCTCTCTGATCGGTTATCCCGCAGGTGCTGAAAATACACAAAGTACACTCAGAACAGTGTTGAAAGCATAGTCTTTTTTATTCTAAGCAATGTCATTCTAACTTGATTATCCTCTTGTGTTAAGCAGCTCCTATGTGTTTGATTTTCAATAGTGACATCTCACACCAGTGATGTTCAATTAGGGCCTCATGAGATCCCATAAAGGGTGCTATGACACCTGTCCCCTGGGTGAAGAGGTAAATGCTCTCCTTCCCCAGTCTAATGCCCTGTGCCTGCCCCAGCTACTCAGCAGGGCCTGCAACTGCTCCTCCCAGAACTGCTGCTGCTGCCCTCCCCCTGCCCCTGAGTGCCTCCCCCACACTGACTGACTACATTCTGGCTGCCCCTACACTCCTGGAAGCATGGTCTGCTGTGGGCAGGCAGATGGACATATTGCAGCCAAGCTTGTCACTGCTCCCATACTT